AAATTTATTTTTGTTCCACTAAACGGGAAATTATTTCATTTAAAATTTTTTTTTTACTGAAGTAACTTTGGATTAAAAAATTTAAGTTTCGGCCCTCCCTGGTGGCGCAGTAGGTTAAAGCACAGCACTGAGAAGCTTAAGCCACTTCCGCATGAGTTCGATTCCCACCTGCCCTGGAGGTGACCACATGGCGTGGCAGACCTCTCCTGACCTGCCCGCTGCTCCCCTCAGCAGTGTACTTCATGGATCTAACTGTTCTGCTCCCCACTCTGTCTATGGTGTCACCCTCCGCATCTCTGGCCTGTACCCCAGTTCAATATGAATAAATAAATAAATCTTTAAAAAAAAATTTAAGTTTCAGGTTCTAGGATTGCAATTTGACATTTGTGTCTGCACATTATAAATGTCACCAAAAGCCTAGTGTCTTCTTCCACCATCCAGTTGATCCTTTTACCCAACCTACCCTGCTCTTGCTCTTCATCCTTTGGTTACCACTATTTTGTGCTTATCATCGAAGAGTGTTTTTTTTTGTTTTTAGCATTTTTTAAATTATAATATTAGTTTATTTTTACATATTTTTGTGCATTTTTCCATCTCAGTTGCAATCCCCTTGGGTTTCCCATCGCCAAATCACCCATGGAAGAGTGTTTTTTTTTTTTTAAGATTTATTTTTATTTATGCATATAAAAACTGGGGTACAGGCCAGAAGTGCAGGGCATGAGAGGATTCACCAGAGACAGAGTGGGGCACAGAACAGGCAGATGTACTGAAATACACTGCTTACAAAAATGGCAGAGTGGTGAGGAAGTAAGGGCATGGGCTTTGGAACAAAGAGGCGAGAAAATTACAAATACTCACTCTGCCATTGTTTTAAATATAAATACGTTTTTTAAAAAAGATTTATTTATTTATGCATATAGAACTGGGGTACAGACCAGAGGTGTGCAGGGAGGTAAGAGGATTCACCAGAGACAGAGTGGGGAGCAGAACAGGCAGATTGACTGAAATACACTGCTGAGGGGAGCAGTGGGTGAGACAGGAGAGGTGTGTTGCGCCATGTGGGTCAGCTCCCTGGCCAGGGGTCGAACTCGTGCTGCAGTGTCTGCAGATAGCTTCATAGTGCTGTTCCAGGGAGGGGCCATTTTGAACTTTTTAAAAGGAATATAAAGACCATCCATGCTTAGCACAGCTCAGTACAAACATTCTGCTGTTCTTATTTGAAGAGCATGTTCTTAACATTTTTCCTCTTTTGCCAAGAAAATTGTTTTCTCTTTCTTTAATTCTAAGTAGCCTTTTTCTGGATGAAACTTAGTTTGAACGGGCCTAGAGAAATAATTACTTTGAAATAAGATATTGGAAATAGTCTGTATTTTCTAACACTCTCTGAAGCCTTCACAGCTATTAAATGCAAGTAATCTTGCTTCCAACTTGAAGGTTTGTGGTGGCAATTGAAGCAAATTCTCACATCTAGATTATGTTTAACTCACTAATGTAAAAAGTAGCTTTTGAGTTCTTGGAGTGTTTCCAGTGGGGTTGGTGTTGGGGTTGGGGTCAGGCATTGTGAGAAAAGCATGTGGCACGCATTCTGCTCTCAAGGGATTTGAATCTTACAGTTACAGGGGTTCAATAAAGGCAAAATTGCTGGACACTACAGGGCCTGATAGTGCCAGTAACTGCTGAGACCATAGGAATCCCTGGTTATCTGAGGTGAAGGCCAAAGTGGGTCTCAGACAGTGGAGAGGAATTGGAGTCTTGAGCCGTAAGTGAGAAAATGTGATCAGGCAGAGCAGGAAGCCAGAAGTGGGATAAAGTCATGGACGATGTGAGCAGCAGGGTGAAGACTGTGTGGATGGATGATCTTGCCAAGGCCCATGGCTTTGCTTGTTCTGGGAGACAAAGGACTCTTCAATGTTTGGCAACTAGAACTCTTGGTGTAGAATTGCACCTCCTTACTTTCCCTCCAAATCCTGGGACCTGGGAACACTGTCACCTTGCTGACTGGAAAGTGTCAAATTGTGTTCAGTTTCTCTTTGGAATAGAAAAGAAAACAAGACACCAGCCTGGTAACTTGTAGAGTTAAAGAATTAATAATCAACGTAACACTAGTTAAAAACAAGACTTTTGGGTGAATGGGTAGGCGGGCTGTAGGAAGTGGTGGGGAGTTGGCATCCTTTACCCAAGTGTCTGTGGAATGGTGACATCCCCGAGTCAGGAGCAAACCCATCTTGAGGGTGAGTTAAGTCTGCTAGAAGGAAGTCTTTGGTCATCCCTTGCCTAGCCAGGGATGTTGCTTCTCTGTCATTAAGCCGTTCTGATGCTTCAGCAATAAACTAAGGGGCAGGATTAGACAGAATGTTCTGTTAGTAAGACTTTGCTGATATAATCAACAAAGTGCCTTTATAAAAAATTGTTTAGTATTCCCTTTCTGATAGATACTTATTATGCATCATTTCCACATGTTTATGAAACTTCTTTAGCTTTCCATTGTCGCATCATTTAGTCTTTTTTCTCCCAAAGGTTAGCATACCGTATTTCATTTTAATATCTGTATTATTCACATTGGAAATTTTTTTCTTCACAACTACCCCACAATCACTGGTTGTGAATTCCAATGATTTAGTTGCTTACCACAAATTCACACCTCAAGAAAGGTTTGGCAGTTAATAAAGTGAACTTAGGTTGCACTAAATGACTTACTTTTTCTTCTATACCAGGGAACCTAAGTGATGAGTGTATCTAAGTAGCAGCAGATGAACTTACTGGCTTTGCTCTCCCTGCCCTGCCCTGTCTCTCTTCTTCATAAACAGTCTTTAATCAGAAACACAAAAGGAGGGAACAGTTATATTAGTACCCCCATATTTTGAGCTCTCTCAAAGCGAAGAGTATCTGCTTTAAACTTAAAATGCTCAAATAGGGTTAACTTCCTAAGGACAAAGAATGTCATATTGGAATGTCAGTGAAAAGTTGGGGTAACTAAGGAGGTAACTCACTACTAGCTGCAAACCAGCAGGTGTTCGCTGCTGGTGGTAATTGTTGGAGGTCTGGCAGAAGGGGAGCTTGGAGACATCTCTTGAGATTCCTGTACTGTGTCCTACCTCTGTTAAGTTACTTGGTTTGTTATAACTTAAATGTGAACTGTATAGTTTATTAACTTGGTCTTCTCTATTAAATAGAGCAGTGATTTAAGTGACTTTCAAAAAGTAAAGCAAGCACATTAAGAGAAGGTGTAGCAAAAATACCATGCATCAATTTTTCATTATTGTTCTACCTGCTCAGAACAAATGCCTTCTAGGGCAGTTTTCTACATAAGGAAAATTTCTTGGCAGCAATCACAAGCCCAGAGCAAAGATCCATGGCTTTCTTGCAATTAATAATATCTGTGCATTTTATTATAACATCTGTAAATGTTTATCTTGTTTCAAAGCGTAGACAGACTGTTGAGACTTGCTTAAGATCAGCCAGAGATAGCTGTTATTCTAGGTTCCCCTGTAAAACCTGAAGACAATACCCACATTATCCTGTGCTGGCTGGCTGGCTGAGGTAATGGTACAAGGACTCGTTGTCCTGCAGCCCATGCACAGGATTTCAAGAAGGTGACATTTCTGCTGCATCATTAGAGGAATGTCATGACTCTCTTTCCCTGCACTTAAAGGTTTAGGGAATTTGTGTCATTTGTGGAATTGTGGAATTTGTGGTCATTCTGCCTTTGCTGCTGAGTTAAGGGTTTTGTTTGAGTTTGTCAGACTCTAGAGGACGGTTGGACCTAATGATGCAGAAAGGCATCATGTTGTTTTTCCCTCTCCTAGCCTTTGATTTCCATGCCTTCTGCCCTGGAAAATTCATTTTCTTCTCTTCAGGATTCTATGCCCTGTAAAGAAGGATTTAAAAACCATGAGGAAAATTTCCTTGTTTCTGTTTAACTACAATTTTATAGTATATGAATTGGTGATATTAGGTGTAGATTAAGAATAATCCCATCAGGAAGACCCAGAATGATCCAGATCACATATTGTTAAGATTATAGGTTAGCTCCTTAATTTTACACTGGTGGAAAACATTTACCGAGCAAGTCAATCCAATGTTTGTTTCTTTGAAAACGATTTCCATTTCATAGGTTTTCTCCTGCTACAATTTCTGCCACTTCTGAATTATTTATGTGCAAAGATGAATATTAACAAAAGTCCATGTGTGCTTGGTATGGGGGAAGGATGTAGCTTGTTTTTAAAATAACTCTTCAGTGTTTATATGTGAAAATTGCCATCTATAACCAGTGGCTTTGAAATGAGGAAAAAATCCTCTCTGAATTAAATATTTATCAAAAGAAATGTGTATGTATACTACCCATTTAAGAAAAATTTAATACATTTGATTTAAAAGTATTTGGCCATGGGCCCTCCCTGGTGGCGCAACGGGTTAAAGCACTGCCCT